CCCCGAAGCACGCGCTTTCGAAAGTTTCGTTGGGAAAATAAAGTGAGTTTAAACCTCAAGGGTTTCAGATTTAGGCATTTAAACTATGTATGAGTTAGTGCGTGATCTGCGTACATACTCTTGGTGTAAAGAGAACATATTGCCTATAAGCATTAGGTTTGCTTATAAACGGGGGTTTTCTAAAACCCTATCCATTAAGGGTTTGGGGTTGTAAAGAGAAGAAACGAAACCCTATAATTAGGGTTCAGCAATTAGGCCTAAGCCCTCAACCTTCAAACCCTACAGGGTTAAGGTTTATATGTTTAGGGTTTAGCTTAAAACCCTATAGGGTTAAGGTTTAATGGTTTAGGGTTTAAGATTTAGGCATTTAAACCTAAACCCGTAGAGCTTAAACCTTCATGGTTTGAGGTTTAGGCGTTTAAACCTTAGCCCGCTATAGCTAGCAGCCTTGTGGAAGGTCCCAGGAAATAATGAACGGATATTTGCTCACAGTATTCTCGCGTCCCCGGGACTTACAGTACAGTACATGATTTTTGCATCACACTATGCACTCGAATGCTTCCTAGTCTTATGGTTCGAGGCGTACCATCCTTCCTTCTCCATTATCTGAATGTGATATACAATACATATACCCTATATACATACATGATGTGGGTACTTTTTCTGCTTTCTCTTTGACTGAATTTCCACAGGAAGCAAGCCCCTACAAACATAGGCATAACCCTATAGGGTTTAAGTTTTAGGGCTTTAAGCCAAGCCCTATAGGGTTATAAGGTTTTAATCCTCTAGGTAATGCCTAAACCTTAAACCCTCAACCTTCAAACCTTATAACCCCGTGAGGGTTTCAGATATAAACCCTGAAAAGCACTAAGCCTTTAAACTTTATCGGGTTTACTGGTTTAATAACCTAAGGTCTGGGCATGTTTATCTTCAGAGCCAGTAGGGCTAAAGCAAATGAACCTTTTAGAGTCCTATAGGGCTTTAGAGTTCTGACCTTAAACGGTTTAGGGTTTAGGTCTAAATTCATAAACCTTAAACCATTAATTAAGGTTTAAGCTCTATGGGTTCAGGTTTAACCTAAATCTTAAACCCAAAAAGGAACTACACAAGAGCCTTCAGGTAAACCCGAAACCCTATGCCAACCAACGTAGCGTTTCTGGGAACAATGGAATGTCTTCTCCCCCAGCCCTAAAACTCTGAACTGCAAACCTGACTTCTTATGCCAACGAATTCCGAAGGAGGGGGGGCAGGTTTAGCGTTTTTTTAATCTGTTTAAACCCTAAAATCTTAGCCCTATAGGGTTTAAAGGTAAACCCAAAACCTTTACACCTTAACCCTATAAAGTTTGTGAGGGCTTCTTTGAACTTTGAGTGATACTTTTCGGTTGCTTGCGATGGTCGCTTGCAGTGGTTTGGTGGATGTGTCTGTGCCCGTGTCTGTGATAACTTTGCTAACTTTGTATATTACACTTCTGTGCACGCAAGCCCCCCCCCCCCCCCCCCCCCCGCCGAACACCGCAGAAGCCCTAACCCCTAAACCCTAAACCATGTGCGCTTCGCAGTGAGGTCCAGCTGCTTGGCACCGAGGCCAAAATTTCAGAATCCATTAGGATCGATGCCTGCGAGAAGCAAGTTTGAGCCGCCCTATACCCTAAACACGAACCCTGAGGCTCCAAGTAGTCCTTATTTCTGGCTTCAAGTACCCAAATAGGCCCCAAAGTCCTTCAAAATACTGGGTACTTGGACCCTTAGGGCCAGAGCCTTATAAACCCTAAACCCTAAACCCTATAAGACCCAGCAAAACAGTGGCGGCATTCGACCCAATGAGCTGCAGTGTTTCTTCAGCCTTGTTTAGGGTTTAGGGTTTAGGGTTTGAGCCCTAAACCCTAAACCCTAAACCCTAAACCCTAACTGGGCCCGACAGCCTACCCGAAACCCACAACCCTCAATCCTACTCTTAGGGCTCAGGGACCCGAGCCTAAACCCCAAAACCCTACAGCCCAAGCCCTAAACCCAAAAAGCGCCAACCCGATCTCAGTGTCTCGGACCCACCGTGGCTCAGAGCTTTTGCCGGACCTACCGTGGTCTTACTTTGAACTCATCGAGTGTCGGCTTGTTGTTCCGGCAGCGCACAGTCCTTCGATGCTTCCCTCCTTCACGTAGCTCCCCAATACCCAACCTTAAACCGTTTTGGGTTATGAGGATTTAGTAGTAATCTGAAAGTTTAACCTTTTGTTGCCCTGGCTTATTGGGGAAGTGAGTTTAACGTTGCGAGAAATTTGTTATTCAGGCATGACAGTGCTTTCTGTATCTCGCTGCTTCCTGTAGTTTCCCAGTCTCGATGGCAACAGTTCCCGCACTAGAGTGAAACCATGCCAACTACCACGAACGATCAGTACCGATGGTCGGGTTGCCAGCAACACTTCAATATGTACGAGGAGGACTAGAATAAGAACGGAGTCCTGATATGTAGAGGTCTCCATAGTTAACGTTGTTTTTCTCTCACATCTCTCTTCTAACCACACCGCAAACTACACCGAAACCCTGTTCTAGTTATTAAAGCCCTTATCATACATAACCCCTTGAAAGTAAGCACTTTAACATGCTTCAACTAACGGAACCCCGAGTTCAATTGTTAAGGCCTCCGGTTGTCATAGAATGATATTAGAACACTTACCCTAACTTTATACTACCCCTTAAAGGAATCCCTTACAGGAACACTGTTGCGAGCCGCCGTCGCCATGGATCGCCAGCTTGCCTTTGCTTTCCCTCAGCAGGTCTTTGGCCGGAACGTCCCTGACACCTTCTCTGATGCTGGGCTCTTGGGTATAGGCATAGGGTTTGGGGCTTAGGGCTTAAGAAGTTCATAGAATTTAAGATACTTAAGATACTGCAATCCGGAAAACCACCCTGATGGGGAGCTCCCATTCTTGCTGGGGAATTGGCACAGTTTAAGTTACCACAATAAGGAAACCCTAGTATTTACCACGGATGCCCATTATAGGTAGCTTCCTGTAGTTCCCTCACATGAACCGAGGATGAGGATGACGAAAAGTTCCAACAGAGGATCCGTGCTAAGCTTGATGCCAACGTATATGCCGAAGCAGAGGTCGGTCATATCTTTTCCTTAGACAACGGTGGCTCTTGCTGCCGTGAGAATGTCTTCATGATCGAACGTCAGTGGCATAACCTCCTCTTTTGTGACTGGGCTTTGGAGTACCATACTTTAATACTTTTTTGGGGGACCTGTTCCTTAAAGGAACCATTATGACCTAAAAGTCTATACTTGTTTCTCCCAGGTTACTTCAAAGCCCAGGTGATGAGCTGAAGGTTGCCTATGTCGGCTGGCAGAAGGCTCAAACGGCCTGGCGATTAGCTCAGAGAACTCCGAAGTTCTACGACGGTTGTTGGAAGACCTGGACCTTTGACCAGATCCGGAACAAGGGCGTGGAGGATTTCAAGAAGATGGGCCTCTGGGTGCGTGAGGGGGGTGGCTTTGATCAAAGGTCGCCTGCGATACAGGACGGTCGTGTTCAGATCCTTCCCAGTGGCATGCCCATTGGTGTGCATGACTGCATGCGCAATCTTGTGGACGAATCGCCCAATCATGATGTCTTCGGGGAGATAGATCATGGGCCCTTCTTGGCAACACTTTTGCTTTGTAGAAAGGCATGTTCTCAGGCAGGGGCAACAACTGCCACTGGTAAAGAGCCTCCCCAAGCCCTAAACCTTGAATAACCCCAAGCTGTAAACCTAAACCCTTACCCCTTAAGCCATAAGCTTGAAACCCTGAACCCTAAACCTAAACCCTTAGCCCTTAAGCCATAAACTTGAAACCCTGAACCCTAAACCTAAACCCTTAACCCTTAAGCCATAAACTCGAAACCCTGAACCCTAAACCTAAACCCTTAACCCTTAAGCCATAAACTTGAAACCCTGAACCCTAAACCCTAAACCCTATACCCTAAACCCTAAACCCTAAACCCAAACCCTTACGCCACAAAGCTCTAAGCCGAAAAAAAGCAGCCGAGGACCTGGGCGATGATGACTCTTAGTAGCTGAATGAGTACACTTTACACTTTACACTTTTTGGGATTATACCCTGGGGACCACATGACCCTTATAAGTAGGGGCCCTATACCCTTATACTTTACACCTTTTTGGGATTATACGGTTGATGGACAAAATCCTGCATGACCTTATATACCTAAACTATGGGTTTTATGGTACTATACTATACTTGTGTCCTACAGAATTTTTGTCCATCCACAGTATGACCCCTTATAGAACTGAAAGTCTACACTGTTTGGGGATCAGAAACTCAACAACTAAGGACTACCCTAAACCCTAAACCCTAAACCCAAACTAAGGACTACCCCTACATCATCGCAGCCCCCGCTCAACAGCGGCCTCAGCTTCTGGCTGCGACCTGGGCTACTGTAAGGAACTAGGGTTTAGGGTTTAGCGTTTAGGGCTTAGGGTCTTAGGGTTTAGGGCTTAGGGTTTAGGGTTTAGGGTTTAGGGGTTAGGCCCCATAGTAACCCCTTTTTGGGGGTTAAGGGTCCTAGGCACTGTTATGGGGGTTTAGGGTTTAGGGTTTATAGGGTTTAGGGTTTAGGGTTTAGCTACCCATAGGCCCCATAGTAATTCCTTTTTTGGGGTTGCCTTATAGGATTCTATGTATGAACCCCCAAAATAGAACTACTTTAGGGCCTATGGGTAAGGTTTAGGGTTGGGTTTAAGGTTTTGGGTTTTGGGTCTGAGGTGTTGGGTTTAAGGTTCAGGGTTTAGGGTTTAAGGTTTACGGGTTTAGGGTTTAGGGTTTAAGATTTGGGTTTAAGGGTTTAGGATTTAAGGTTTTGAGTTTGAGGGCTTAGGATTTACGGTTTAGGGTGTAAGAACTGGGGTTTAAGGGTTTATGGTTTAAGGTTTTGTGTTTACGGTTTAGGGTTTAGGGTTGAAGGTTTAGGGTTTACGGCGTAGGGGTTAAGGGTTTAGGGTTTATAAGGGTTAATTGTGTAGGCTTTAGGGGTTTAGGCTTGCACAAAGCTTTAGGGTTTCGAGTTTAGGGTTCAGGCCACGAAAAGAAGAACCGCCGCGGACACTAGATCATAACGCTGGTACGAAAGCTTGAACGGGTATGCATACAAGCTGCTTTTGCAAGAAGTGCGCATGTCTCTTTTTGTTGGGGATCTCTGAGCCCAAAACCCTTGACCCTAAACCCTAAACGCCCTAAGC